TTTTCCATCATCATTCCCCAATTTTCTTTTCTCCGGCCAAAGCAGCAATCGTCTGGAGTCTCGTTTCCACTTTTTGCAACCAACGCAATTTTCGACGACCAACGCAATTTCCAACTATGAATAAGATAAACTAAGATTTTGGAAGAGATTTGAAAATTTGGTCTTCCTCGATATGATGATTTAAGGTTTAAGGTTCATTGATTCTCAATTTAAAGGTGAGTATTTTCATGATTATAAGGTGGATGTTTCATAATTGTTTGATTGTATATATATGATATGTTGTACGCATTGATATTTAAATTTGTTTTCTGTTTTTTTAAGAAATAGCTCACTGGTTTGATGACAATGAACGAGCATGGGGTTATGCAGATATGCTATCCTTTACCGAATTTATATCAAAGATAGCGGATTTCTGGTAAACGACCAACTCAAGGAACATGGAAACTTTGTTTTACCTTTGTCGAAATTTCAACAAAGGATACTTTTTGGTTGTTTGAAATCTATATTGCTGCTTTAAACACAAATACTGACATTTGGTTACTACAACAACCACAATACTGGATGTTGAAGGCCTAGTATGGTTAATTCATCTATAGATGTTCTAGAGAGTGATCACACGATTTTTTTTTTTTTTTATGAATTGTGACATTGCTCTAATGGTTTTAATTCAGGGTATGAAGAACTTTTCTCCTACAGCTGCAAATCTCCTGGCCTCCATTGCTAAAGTGGATTGCAATTATTACCCTGAGGTACATAACTCTTTGAAGAATACACTTTTCTTTTCATGGACCCAAAGAGCCGAGTGGACAAGGCTTGATAAAAATTAAAAGACGTGTCTTGGATATTTCGGTTGCTCTAAAAGTTTGTAATCATGGTCTCTGACTCTTGCAGACTTTGCACCGAATGTTCATTGTCAATGTAGGGATTGGATTCAGGACTTTGCTTTGGCATGCCGCCTAGAAGCTTCTTGATCCGATGACTATTGCAAAGATACAAGTAATGATTGTCGCTCTGGATTTAAGCTTATATTCTCTTATTTTGGTGTCAGCATCTATTCATTACTTTTATTACTCAGGTATTGGAGCCAAAGTAAATTATACAGTCCTATTGTCATGTAAATGCACTACATGCCATTTCAATTGTTGAGAAACYGCAAGTCGTGCTTGTTCCTTATTAATGGTGAAGCTCGAAACAGAGGATGATGTCTAATAAAGAGATCGTTATTTTTTTAATTTTTTTTTGAGAAAAATAGGTTGTTCTCATTATTTCTTACGTTCTTTTGGTACATTCTTTTGTTAAAGTTTCCTTTGACCAAAAAATTTGCAAAGCAGTAGTTAAAATATAAGTTACTTGGAGCCCAATATTGTGGAGAGTTGATCTCCGATGATAATTTCGGAGACGCAACGTCACTTTTCATTACACTCCACACATGCGTTACAAGGAACATAAATACAAAGCTTTTGAAAGTAACAATGACGCTGGTCGCGGCGGTCACGAAAAGAAAAGCTTGTTTAAGATTCTCTTACTTTGTTATATTGATCATACTTTTGCAATTGAAAACTCGATCGATTTTGGTTCTCTTTTGTGATTACTAAGCCAACATTTTGTCATTGACTCTAACAYAAGACTTYASGGTTAAGGAGAAAACAAACCTCAGTTGCAAATAAGTAGTAGAACAAAGAGTCCAAAATCACAAAGACAATGCCCAATCTTGTCATAAATCGTCAAAAAGGTGCAAAACTACCACAAATCATGAAAGCTTAATGAAACTAAAAATCAGAAAACAAGGTCACGGCAATGGCGTTTGACACGTTGCTTTGTTACGTCCTGTAAGCTTGCATCTTGAATATTTGTTCTATAGTCGTGGTCGCTTGTTATTCATCGCAACCTATAACGGAGAAAGATATCTACCTTTCTTTGGCCGACCTCTATTACGTCGCCCTTTAGGAGGTAAACATATGTGTTCCCTAACTTCATATGGTACTTGACTATCATTGAGAATTCCTTGAACTTGATATATGGAAGCATACATATTTCTGTTAGATATTTTTGAAGTGAATTAATGCAAAAGTCTTGTTACAACAATTCCAGGCCATTTACCAATTCTTTCCCCAAAATTTGGATCTATATCTATATATATTGAAGATTTTGGAAGGGTAACAGTTTGTTTATATTGTTACTTGTATTAGTCCTATGTTTGTATACTTTGAACTAATTATTGCAACGAGAAATTTTGATAAGTAGGATCAATCAAGGAACCAAGAGGATCCATGTACAGTCTTCGATAACAAGGATTCAAAGAGGTTATACAAGAGAAAAAGCTGCTAAACTTGTCACAAGAGATTCGAACTAAATGAGTTGGAACAAGCAACATATAGTTTCAACACTGCAAACATCATTGATTCAAGCAGCTTAAGCACAGTGTACAAAGGTGAACTAGAAGATGTGACAGTGATTGCAGTAAAAGTATTGAATGTGAAGCAATTCTCTGCAGAATCAGATAAATGGTTCTACACAGAAGCCAAAACACTAAGCCAGTTAAAGCATCGGAACCTCGTCAAAATCTTAGGGTTTGCTTGGGAGAGTGGAAAAATGAAAGCTTTGGTGCTTCCATTTATGGAGAATGGAAGCTTGGAGAGTGCGATTCACGGGTCTGCACCGGTTGGATCTCTCTCAGAGAGAATCGATCTATGCGTTGACATCGCGAGCGGAATCGATTTTCTTCATTCTGGGTTTGGATTTCCAATCGTTCACTGCGATTTGAAGCCATCGAATATACTTCTCGACGGCGATCGAGTAGCTCACATCAGCGATTTCGGGACTGCTCGGATCCTAGGGTTACGTGAAAATGGAAGCACCACAGCTTCTTCCGTAGCCTTCCAAAAAGTGGAAGCGAGACTCCATGGTGATTGCTGATTTGGCCGGAGAAAGGAAAATTGAGGAACAACGATGGAAAAATATTTTTTTTTAAGTAAAACAACTTGAGGGTAACAAAGTCAACAATGACCTATATCTCTAATATCAAGAAACACGGTGTATATCTTTAATTTAGATTGTTTTTTGGCCTATTTCCTTAATTTTCTCTTATTATTTTAATAGACCATTTGTCGAATCAATAGAGCAATTTGTTCTTTATTTGTAAAATTTTCGATTTGAAAATCAAACATGTAAAATCTAATCTAACTAGTATCCATATTTTAGAAATCTGCTTAAAATAACAAAATTTACATTTAAATACTATAGTTGTTTTAGTATTTTCAACTTCTAGTTCGTTAAATTTAAATTTGAAATCAAATTGTTTTCAAAATCCAATGTAAAATAAAACAAAACATAAACACAAATTAGTTAGAGGATGTTAAAATTCTCCCCAAATCATGGAGGACAACTATAATTAAAAAGCCTTCCTCACATTAAGCCTATCTAACAATTATTATGGACAGAAATTATAAGCCCAATAAATAAGGCCCATTAACAACAACGAACCTGAATACACCCGACTTTCGTTCACAAAATCCTAGGGCTCAAGTTCTCAAGAGGATCTTCTTCTTCAATTTCCTTCAAGAGGTTCTATCGATTTTCATCAAAATCGTCTTGTAACTTTCAAACCTCGAACTGGTTTGTCCTCCGCTTCACCTCATCTTCACGGCGACTCTCACGGCGGAGCTTTTCTTCACCGGCTGAGGTACGGTG